TTCACAGAGCATGTCCATGCAAGTCTAAATGTTCTAAGCAAAACATAATAGATATCGAGTTAATCCAAATTCTTAAATGATATCACTTTCACAAAATCTGTTGATCCAATATAGCATGCACCATGAACAGTTCACAATAACATTCTTCCAACTCTAACCGAACTGACCAAGAACACAAATGTAGGGCAACATGCAGTCAGAAAAAGATACAAAGGAATTTAAACTGAAAAATTAAACACCAATGAAACTGAAGTTTCATCTGTTGTGTACAAGAAGTTGTAAGTAACAAGACTTTCAACATTACAAGTAATCTAATGCAAATGATATTAATGTAAAGACCCAAACAACTTTTTTATTTTTACCTTCTCTTCCACGCTCATCTATCCTTGTCTTCAAAACTTTTCTCCGTTTAGGTGAATTATTAGCAGCTTCAGTTGGTTTCTCCTTATTTATATCATTTGCAGAAACACCATTTTGGATCTTCTCGGAAGAGGAAATGTCACTCTTCATACTTTTTCTTAAAACCAAAGAATCGTCCTGATGCAATTGGTTGGAGTTAGTTGACATTTCTTCCTTGACCTTTGGTTCATTTTCTTCCTTCAGTTCATTTTCTTTCTCCTTGTTCAGTACTAAGCTGGGTTTCTCTGGAATTAGTGGTTTACAATTTCCTTTTGTGCCCAGACTTGACTGTCCTGAAATATCAGGTGATGCTAAACTAACAGCATCTTCATACTCATCATCCGAGTAATCTAAGACTAACCTCCTTTTCCTACTGTCCTCACCATTGGAAGCCCTCGTTAAATTGACATCTTGAGCGTCTTCATCATCACTATCTCGGTTATCAACAGCTTCAAGAAAATGTATCTGAGCATCTGCATTACCTATTTAGACATATAAGAACATACACATACAAAACAAAGAGTCAGCCAAGGATCTGATCTGTTGTGGGTAAGAGAATATTAAAGCTCAGGATCTTGTGCATCAATAAAAAGTTTTGAGCAGAAGCTTGTTTTGAGGAAAATAAATATAAGAACATCTACAATATTGAAACTGCTTCATTCTAGCTAAGAGGGTCGATAATTCATAATGAAACAAACCAGTGGGATCTGTGATAGACTTATTGTCATACGCTGGTGCAGAATTGGGCTTTGACTTTACGGCTGCACGGCCCCATAAATTTGCCAAGGAACTTCCAGTTCCAGATGAATTATTGTCATTTTGGCTTTTCTTTTTATTAGTGGGCATCGGAATGACTTTCTCTTTATCCATAGAAGCTTTGGTAGACTGTTCATTATCTGCTTTGCTATTCGTTTCATTTTTGACATCTTTTACCACATTCAAAGACTGAGGGCCAACCTTTGGGCTATATTGTTGAACTTTATTTTGCTGAGGTGCTGACACAGCAGAAGTAAAAGTATGCCTAGAGGAGCCAGCAATTGCCTCACTTTTGGGCTGTGGAGCAGCAATGCTTGTTGAGCTTCCCTCAACATTACACTTTACAAAAGAATTAGAAATCCCACAGAACCTGATAATACCAAAAAAAATTATCATTGAGAAAGTGAAACCAAATAGAGGCATAACAAAAGTATGTTTAACTTACTCCTGCTAACTTTTGTTTATCCAAATGAATATTAGAAGTTCCTCAAAAAATACTGAATGTTAAAAGTAAATGACATTGAAAAAGAAGTAACCAGAATTGTAGATCATCTTCAATGTGTAAGAAGTTATAAGATGCACATTACAGAATTTAGAAAAAATTAACTTCCTAAAACAACCAACTAATTTGCTAGTAGCAGTTAAATGATTTTATTTTTTCTTTTGTTATCAGCAAGTCATAATATTTGCCATGATAAAAATATATCATGACAAGCTAGTGAAATATATGCGATCTATTTTCCAATTCATAGTTCACCATATGAAATTCCTCCACCAGAAATGCTAAATGCTGCAACAACTATCAAGCTCTCAGGTATCCAGATTATATGTACCAAACTAGGGTTTCACACAGGAAACAGGGACACCACACCTGTTGTCTCTCAAGAAATTATCAAAAGTATGCGGCTGCTTGAAGAGCTCTTCTGCCTGTACATATTCAGCATTCCAGAGTGAAGCTGGGTCTTCCGGGATGCTAGCTTGCACACTGTAGACCTGGAGTGAGCAATTTCCATCAAAATCTTGCTTGGCTTCTGCATTAAAGGCAGGGGAAAAGACAATTTAAATAATCTCTCTTTTGTCACCTCCCCCCCTTATAATAAAGAAAAAAGGACAAGAACAGTCAATCATGGCATGGAAAAAACACAAAATGAAGACTCTAAAGCCACACCTTTTTCTTGGGAGGTGATTTCAAGCCACACCTCTTCCATTTCCATTTTGTATATACATGTGTGTGTATAAAGAAAAGAATGCCTATTGTAGAACTTACCCTATGAATGACGCAGTCTATATAATCATGCCACCTCAGCATAAAACAATCACAGCAATAGCAATAAAACCTATAATCTAAAGTTAGATGTATCAAAATGAACACATTACCATTGTATTTATGTCCTTTCA